GTGTGTTCTCCAACACAACTCTCACAACGCTTCACTGAACGCACTCGCTCTCCCAACGGGGAGCTTACCTAACAGCTATAATTGAATTGAGTTTTACTTAAATTGTACCGGTGATGCCCATCGAATACAATATTTAGAAATGTCAGGCTGTGCTATTCAATACTGCCGATGCTACTCCCGCTTCTCCAAAAATAAGACTTCCCCAGATAATAAGCCCATCCGGGCTTTTGAGCCCCAAAATAAGCCCTCCCCTAAAATATTTCAACACATGCACAGCCAATCCCTGCCACTTGCTGGGGAGGGGGCAAGGGGGGAACATGCTCCTGCCATCCATGTGGAATGGCCTCACAGAGGCCGCTACCTCAAACCCTAGCTACTGCACCCTTTCTCTTAGTGGCGGCTGCAAAAAAGAGTGACAGGCCCAGTGACGCAAAGGCTGGCAAGAATGTGCCAGAAACAGAGAGAGAACTTCCGGCCCTCTCTGGATCAGCTGATCCCTAGGTTGCAGGCCGAGGTTAAGGGGCCTCCTGCACCTCAAAAATAATAAGCTCCCCGAAAATAAGGCCAAGTGAAGCCAGCTCTGACCCCACGTAATTTACAGCCCAATTATGACCCTGTTTCCCCCTTTTTCTGTGGCAACTCAAGAACAGGGCAGGGATGCTTTGCGAGTTGACACTTTTATTATAGAGCTACAGAATCTTGAAACTCTGAGTGTGCCTCTTTCTTCCTTGTTTTTATCCTGAAAAGTCACTTGGAGGCAAGATGGCTGGCAAATAAATTTAATAACTAGATAAATAAACAATTTAATATAGAGAGAGAACTAGGGGGGCGTTAAAATTGGAGACGTTTTCTCAAATTACTTTTCTGTCTCAAGACTAAACTCTTATCTGACCGTTGTTTTGACAAGTGACTCTTCCCCTTCTTCCTTAAGGCTATTCTCACAGTTTGTTACAACTACAGAGAGGAAATATTGTCATGAAGCAACCGATGGGGAAAAAACTCAAGAGAATGAGAAAGAAACTCTAGATTGACTCTCTGGTATAAGAGGGAAGGGAGGGGAAACAGTGTCCAGCTTCCAAGATAAATCTTTAGGGATAAAATGGAAGAAAATTATACATTGAGACCAGTGGTGGGATTCAAATAGTTTAACAACAGGTTCTCTGTCCTAATGATTTCTTCCAACAACTAGTTCACCAAACGGCCCAGAAAGTTAACAACCAGTTCTCCAAACTAGTGTGAACCGGCTGAATCCCACCACTGATTGAGACTTGCAAGATTGGATAGGTAAACTGACTCTATTGTAAATCTATATTGGATCTCTGGATCAGCTGATCCATGGGCTGCGGGACAAGATTAAGGGGCCTCCTGCACCTCCAAAATAATAAGTTCCCCGAAAATAAGGCCAAGGGCTTATTTTGAGGGGCAAAAGAAAATAAGACCTTGTCTTATTTTCAGGGAAACACGTACAATGTATGCTGGAAGAAAGCTAAACGGTACATCTAAAAAGAAGAAAAAAGAGGAAAAGAGGGGGGTAAGGTTAAGAAGAAAAATCTGAAGTAGAGTAATACAGTACAGTCACTGAAAATAAGTGAACTGAGACTAAAATCATATTTATATAAATCACGACGGATGGTTTTTAATCAACAAATCAAACACAAACCAAATGGAATCATATTTGATCTCCCTGTTTCCATACTAAATCAAAATAAAGTGTGGACAGATTTTGTTTAACTTACACAGGATGTCCATCCAAGAATGCATAATCACCTCTTATGCACACACAAACACACGCAGTGTATATATACACAGTGTTATATCCAAAAGCTCTTCATAAACAGACAAATTCCGGCATTTTGGAGTAGCGTTGAACAAAACATTCACATTTTTGAAGCTTACATTTCACCCAGGAACCTAATTGGCAGCTGCAGAAGACTTTTTCTTCCTCATATCTCTTGGGGATGAATGCGTACCAGATGTTGGGTCCAGTTGTTATTTGGGGCAAGGAGTCCAGGCCTTTTGAGAACATTTGCAAGGATTCTGACATTTTCCNGATAGATAGATAGATAGATAGATAGATAGATAGATAGATAGATAGATATTTTATTTTGTCACAGAAGTGGCATCGTTTTAGAGCTGTGTGTAGTATTTCGGTTATATTGCTTTTTCTTCTTCTGTGGGTTGGTTCTGTTGCTATATCAAGAGTTACGTAATCTTGTAAGATCCTAAAATTCTCCCAAGTTCTGTTAAAAATGGAAAGATGACACCATTCAAAATTTTGAGGTTCACTTCTGGAGATTTCCAATTATAAATTGACTAAAGAGATGGAGACGTCTCTCTCTCTTTCCGAATCCTAAGGGAGGTGCAGTCAATCAGAATAAAACCAGATTAAGATGGATTGTTTGATCTCCTGGAAAGCAGCTCCCTTTTGCTTCTGAGGAAACCAAATCCAGGAAATAAACAAACCTGGTTTATATTTGCAGGTTCTGGAAGCTTACAAGCAAGGCTTCAGGCCAGCTGTTGGCTATGAACTCAATCCATGGCTGTTGCGACTTTCCAGCTATCGTGCGTGGAAAGCTGGGTGTTACGGAAAAGTTTCTTACTACAGAGAAGACCTTTGGAAGGTGAGGAAAAAAGGAAAGACATTGGAATTCTGAGCATCGTCCCAAAAGTGCTTTTTTTTTCAAGAGGCAACTGGACTTTCTGGTTTTTCTTTGAAGACATTTTGCTTCCCATCCAAGAAGCTTCTTCAGTTCTGTCAGGAGAAACCTCCAAGTGGCCTCAACGAATCTTTAAAAAGGTAAAGATGAAGATTCTCCTCGCCCATATGTGCTAGTCGTTTCCGACTCTAGGGGGCGCTGCTCATCTCCATTTCAAAGCTGAAGACCCAGTGCAGTCTGAAGACATCTCTGTGGTCTTGTTGCCGGTATGACTAAATGGTGAAGCCGCACGGAACGCTGTTACCTTTTGTTCTGATGCCCCCCTCCCCCCCGTACGGTGACTCACGCCGACACAAGGTTACTGTTAACCAATTTATTCACAGTAATTACTCACAGACAAGATTTTAGCAGCAATTCAGACTTCCACAGATAAGAAATACGCACAAGAGCTTCTCCAGCTTTAGTAAAACGGTTGTGTCCTGCAAAAGGTCTCCTCCCAAAGTCTCTTCTTATATTCCCTCTTGGGAGGAGCCTAATCACAACCTCCTGGGCTCG